AAAGAGCCTACATTACAACCCGAGAAGTCCTCTTGATTCGTCGTTTCACAGCTTTGATTGTTGTAGAGTAGAAGTTAGACGATTTGCAAATCTATGAATGATTGATTGATAACCGACTTGAGTGCACCTCCTTTATATTTGCAAAAGAAACTGAGTGAGGCATGTGATATATATTCCCGTACTCGAGAGTCTTTGTCATTCGAAATAACTGAGTTCATGGTTGATGTGTGTTCTCGTGATCATTTGAATTCTTCGTGACTTGATTGATTGGTTTGAGACCGTTGTCCTTGCTCGTTTATTTGTTTCCTTTTGTTTTTTCTTCTTTTCTTTGTTCGGAACGAACAAAGGTCTTAGTGTGGGGGAGTTGTTTGTCCCGTTTTTGTTACTATTTTCTTTGATATTTTGTGTTTCGTTTCTCCCGTTTTAGGTCTTTTCGGTCCGTCTAGTCTTTTCTTATGCTTTTATCTTCGTTTTAGGTTGTATAGTTTTTCTGTTGTTTTTTCCTCATATTTTCTCTGTTTTTCGTGTTTTGTCCGGTGGTGCGATTTCAGGTTGTAGGTTGATCGGGCTGGCGAATGTTCAAACATGATAAGAAGTGGATGATTTGAGCAGCATTTCTGTGGGCCAAAGCATGCGAGGATGGAATTCCCAGCTCGGGCAGTACCCGAGCGACGTAGCCGAGCAAGCTGTAGAGAAGAAGGCCAAAATTTTTGACAACGGGACCTTAGCGCCGCTAAGGCCCCTTTCGTTAGCGGCGCTTTGGACATTCCAGAGGGTAGAGCCGAACAGCTAACATGGGTTAGCGGCGCTAAGACCTTAGCGCCGCTAAGGACTGTTTTAAGGCCATCGCGGGTTTCGTGGAATTTGAAATGGGAAAATCTATGAGATCGATTGGGGGCGTTATTTTGGTGATTCAGACCTCGTTTTTCTTAATCTTTTCACCCTATAACACATTTTTCTTCTTATTTTTTATCTTGGATTTGATCTTGGAGCATAAAAACTCCAATTTTCGCTCGGATTTTGGTTGTTTGTTGCTTTCTATCGACATTGGATTTGTTATTAATCGTAAGCATCTCTTTTCATTTTGATT